CCCCCCCCCACCCCACCCGAGCGAAAGGTATCTAGCCGGCCACCCGGGCGCGTGTTAACAGTCTGGTCTGTGTCCTGAAGATGCAGTCTGGAAACGCAGGCGTCAATTTCTACCTCGATCGGATCATCTCGCTGGCTTACATTACACTGTCAACGCCTTGCATTGCTGAGGACAGGATGCTGAATCGTGGCATCGTCACTGAAGTCAACAAGGTCCAAAATTAAACCTTGGTGGGTATTTATGAAATTGCAATGCGGATGCCGTTTGAAAATTCGTAGCGTGTTGAAAGCCACCGCCAACCAGTCGCATCGCAGCGATTGAAACATGCTCTTGCGGGCAAATGAATCGAACTGTATTGAATGCAATGAGTATCGCAACAAGTAAAGCATATCCTCGCACCCAGATGAATCGCCATAATCTAGATCTTTTCAGCATTCTGTGCTGTCTAATTTGGACTCTGAGAGTGGGCTGATAAAAAGAGCTAATCGACCGCCCGGCCGGGGCATGGGAAAGACACCGATTTGTCACCGATCTACCACCGAGTCAAGCTAACAACCAAAATTCATCGTATAATCTTTATCACCAGATGGGGTAAAGCCTTCAAACGATACCATGGTGCCAGAAAGCACGGTGTAAAGGGACTTACGGAAAAAGGTTGTTGATGTTGTGCGAAAAAATGCATAGGAGGAGGCCTCGTGGTAGACTGGCCAGTCGGGGCTGTAACGTTTTGCCGTGCGCGTCACTAAACATTTTCGGTTAAAGACATTTTTACGAGCATCGAGTGAAAATATGCACTTTTGGCGCCGACTTCATCCACCAAGTCGGCACGTTTTACCGCCTTGCAGCAGGCACTTAACCCCGACGAGCGACCCCTCTGGGAGAGAGCCCTTCTCCAGCCCCAGCCGGCAGCCTTCTGGAGAGAGCCCCTCCTTCAGCCCCAGCCGGCAGCCCTTCTGGGAGAGAGCCCCTCCCCCAGCTCCAGCGGGCAGCCCATCTAAGAAGAGAACCCTTCTCCAGCCCCAGCCGGTAGCCCCTCTGGGAGAGAGCCCCTCCTTCAGCCCCCAGCCGGCAGCCCTTCTAGGAGAGAGCCCCTCCTTCAGCCCCAGCCGGCAGCCCTTCTGGGAGAGAGCCCCTCCTCCAGCCCCAGCCGGTAGCCCCTCTGGGAGAGAGCCCCTCCTTCAGTCCCAGCCGGCAGCCCTTCTGGGAGAGAGCCCTCCTTCAGCCCCAGCCGGCAACCCTTCTGGAAGAGAGCCCCTTCTCCAGCTCCAGCGGGCAGCCCATCTAAGAGAGAACCCCTTCTCCATCCCCAACCGGCAGCCCTTCTGGGAGAGAGCCCCTCCTCCAGCCCAGCCGGCAGCCCTTCTGGGAGAGAGCCCCTCCTCCAGCCCCAGCCGGCAGCCCTTCTGAGAGAGAGCCCCTCCTTCAACCCCAGCCGGCAGCCCTTCTGGGAGAGAGCTTCCTCCTCCAGCTCCAGCGGGCGGCCGCCTCGGGGCAGGGCTGCTTTTCGCTGACGGCCTGTCTGTGGCCTAGGCCCTCAACGCTGACGGGCACCTTCTCCAGTGCGCAGGCCCGGATTTTATGATGGTCGCTGCCCTCGAACATGGGATGGGCGCAAAACTATCTGAGACCAGGGCGCGCCCCTAAGCTCCAATTATCATTATCATCAAACATGTGGCACTGCTCGGTCATGAAAGACCCGCGGCTTGCTCCGATAGCTGTGGAGAAGCCCGCTCAAGTGTTCAGTCTCGGTCACAAGGTACGAGTGCTGTTTGCGTAACAAATGCAGAGATAATATGGTGCTGCTGCTCTTGCTCGTGACACACCATCCGTTGCGGTTATAGTGCGCCTGGGGAGCATTTTAGTGCGACCAGCTTCTGAACATACGTCGGCTTGCACGGTGACAAATTGCTAGCATACCTGAAATCATAGAGCATGTGAAGCTTCCAACTGACCACACACCCCACTTATTTGCGGGAGTCGGCCATCCTGTATCGCCGGAGGCGGTCACATGACCTGGCTTGATCTCGCCTGGCACGGAGCCCGCCGCGCAGCCCTGGTGGGCGGTGTTCAGACTTCTGCCATGTGCTCGTCAGCGAGCCTCGTGTGATCGCACACCCGTCGGGACCGATGCTTTCGCTCTAGTTTGTTTGACCTTGGAACGAGCTTAGTCCATATATTAATTGACAACTTGAGGAAAACTTATCTTGAATCAATATAATTCGTTCGGGGAGGTTGATTGCCCCGGCCGAGACCAAACACTGTGCAGCCGACAGGACCACCAGCGCCCGACGGCGAGTCCCGAGCCTTGCGCCTGCGAGCCTCTCCTCCCTCCGGCTGGACACCATCATTGAAACATGGTGCAGCCGACAGGACCACCGACGCCCGACGGCGAGTCCCGAGCCTTGCGCCTGCGAGCCACTCCTCCCTCCGGCTGGACACCATCATTGAAACATGGTGCAACTGACAGGACCACCGGCGCCCGACGGCGAGTCCCGAGCTTTGCACCTGCGAGCCTCTCCTCCCTCCGGCTGAACATTTTCACTGTCGGCCTGGCGCCTTCCTCCTCTGGAAAGAAAGGTGGGAGGACTACGCGATGGCGTCACTTATCGGTACTGAGGAGCCAGTGATGCGATTGGCGGCACTGCCAGCGGGCCTCCGGGACGAAACCGTGTGAGAGGTGCGGAACCTCTCGCTGGCTGGGATGGAGGGGCGTGGTGTCGCTGCCGTCCTGAGAGGCCTCCAGATCCAGGTGGCTGGACGGGTGGGCGAGGTGTCCAGCGGGCGCACCTTAACAACAGGGTTCAGGCGGAGAAAGAGACCTTTAACAACGTCCTCGCGCCTTGGCGCGATTTGTCGCGCGCGAATCAGTTTTGCGTGACACGTAACAACTCGCTGATCTCGCTAAAAATAGATCTCGCTAAGGAGATTGGATTGCTATCGGGCTGAGGTCCCATGAAACTGTAACTGTACCTGCACCGTAAGGGCACCAGAAGGGCAATGATAAGGCTCTGCGTCTGAGAACCAGATACCTGCGATCGCGCCAGCGACCGGTGACAATTGTTTTGCCTTGATCCGTTTAGTTTCACGCGTCCACCTCGAATTTTTGAATTAGGATGGTTCGGACGCGTGGTAATAGGTCATCAATTTACTAAGGGCATCACGTATTCCCGGTGGTGCCACGTGAACGCATACTTCTTGTACATTATTTATCAAATGGTCGTTCACTTCAGTAACATACTAGCCATGAAGTGAAATGATGGTCCAGAAGTAAGCTATGTGTTGCATTTAGGTTATTCCTTCCTCAATCCATTGCAAGTTTCCACGAAATGTTAGGCGCCGACACCAACACTGGGGGCCAGGGTCCGTACAAAACGAACCAACACTGCACCGTAGATTAAGATCAATATTCCTAGATGGGGCTGGCACGAACCAGGCTGTAAGCAGTGCCAATGTTACACATGTGGCGTGCAGCTCGGAATTTGACGCTTATTATTCTTATCTTTCTATTTCCGTTCAGTTCTGGCTTTACTTATTCGTTCGCGTATGAATGTCAGTGACCAGTGTCAGTGTGTGTCAGTGTCAGTGAGTCGAGCAAAAGACCATCCTTCTTTTCGGAGGTCTCTTGCTGAACACGCTTCGTCGCTTGTCTTGGTGAGCATATTAGAAATTGTTTTGTTTCGCCAACCAAGGAACAACACAGCCCGGCAAGCTCCCCCGTTCGATCCATTTTTTTCCGAAGCAAGGAAGGAAATTAATGTCGGCGAATCAAGTATGATCATGTTTCAAATGAATCAGATGAATCAAATGAATGGAATTAAAAATAAAAAAATAAAAATGAATCAAATCAACGATGGTCATGTTTGCCTTCATCATTTCACCAGTGCATTTAAGGACTTCTAGACTACATGTAAGCATCTGACATCCCCACAGAACGTTGCACACTGCGCAGAAATGGCGCGCATTTTCCGACCATATATTTATTTCATTACAAATACACAAACGGCTGGTGAAATCTGCCGGCTCGGCAGGCTACACGCTTGTGCTCCGAACACACCGGACCGCCCGCATCAGGCTCTAACACACCAGCTGTACCATGGAGAGCTGGCAGCACGCGTCTCCGTCCAGCATCCGCAGCGAAGCGAACGCGACCCACAACAGCGTAACTAGACTAGCGTCATAGTTGCCACACGACGGCGCCGGCCCACTCGGCCACATCACACAACAGCACGCGCTCAGACTTGACCAAAACGGGGCGCGCCGGTGGTTATCTCGAGTGAGCTGGCAAAAAGAAACGTCCGCGCACCGCTCTTATAGCCAACACGTACACAAACTCAAGGTATCGACAAAACCGACAACGCGCGAGACGCGCAGGTACTTGTACTGAATCCACTACAGCTGGGGAGACTCGTCAGAATCTCAGCAGCGCAGCAGCCGTGCAAAACGCGCAGTCTCCCAGCGAGCGGGTCAAGAGATGCTTGACAACAGACAGCGGCGCGGGCGGCAGCGCACGCTAGCATGGTGAGGCGGCCACCTCAGTATGTACAGACGTATCACGGGCGACTACGAACAGAAGCCGAAGCCTGGAATGTACGTCTTCTTGCGCGCCAAGCTGAATGGGATCACGGATCAACATCGAATATTTGGCCTCGTAAACCGCGCCGACCCTCCCGCACCGGTCACGCGTAACGCCACACTAGCGCCACCAAGCGCCGTCACCTCCCACCAGCGCCACCTGCGACAATAAATATCACCCGCGAGCCGGCGACGCGTGCGCCCGGCGCCAGCGACGCGTACCGGGCCGGAGGCGGCATCGGCCGGCGCCCACGCGGCTAGATCTCGGTTCCTTCGGTCGTCTCCGGAATGTCCTGCATGCTGTGGCCGTTGAGGGCGGCGGGCAGCGAGGCGGGCCCCGAGGCAGCGCTCGGCGGCGCATTCAGCTGGTAGAACACGCCGTGCGCCTCGTGCTCGGCCGCCTCCCAGTCGGAGCTCTCGGAGCCGCCGCGACTCGGCCCGTGGCCTGAGGACGAGTCGCACGACAGACTGTCGGCCGCGTCGTCCGGCTCTGCCGACGAGTCGCGGCCGCCGCCCTCCATGTCCAGCACCCAGCTGATGGAGTCGGACTTCTCGACGACGGCGGTCACCTGCGGCGGCGGCGACGCCTCGTCCGAGCGACGCGAACGCCGGCGCAGCGAGTCGGAGCGCAGCGGCGAGCGCGGGCTCACTCTGCCGGCGGGAGGGGCCGTTCAGCGAGGGCAGGAGAAAGCGGCGGACGTCGGCTCCCAGCACTGGTGAAGGAGTGGGGCCCGCGCTTGGCGGCAGAGGGCCTATGGTGATAGCATGCTGACTCAAGCGCTTTTTACCAACATGGCGGCGGTAGCCTCTGTCAACGACAACGGTGAGTGAGAAGCTCGTCACTGATCCCACGGGCACATTGCTAATCTACAACATTAAATACCACGTCGCAAACCAGGCCAGCCTGGCCGCCAAGACAGACGCGATTCGCCCAAAGCCAACTGGCCACACTGCAACATTGCCACTGACCACCCTGCTGGACCCGGCAAGGCCATGCAGGCGCGACTGCGCGTGCCGGCGCCGACGGACGGTGCTGGGCCGGTCGCGTTCCGTAGCGTGTCGCGCGGTGCGCCGCCTTTACCTGGAGGTGAGCGGCGACTCGCTGCAGGCGCGCGCAAAGGTGCTGGGGAGCGTGCCGCGGCAGACCGGATGATGGACGACAGACTCAGCGAGCCTGAAAGAGCGGCCAAACTCGGCGCTAGAGCGGGAGCAGGCGCCGGGCAGCGGGCAGACGACACGACAGCCACCGGCGGCAGGGCCGACTCTACGTGCCGCTAGCGTCATGCCCCGACGAACGCTCCAGCTCCCAGCCCGGCAGCATAGCCAGACACAACATCCACGTCCGCACAAACTCGGGTCCTAACAGCCGCCGGCGCGCACCAAGCGTTCACAGCTTGCCGACTGAACGAGGACCGGACGAAACCAATCCAAAAAGATCGGCTTCGTCAGACCTCCACCGACGCCTAGGAAGCGAACCACCTGGAGCGACCATACGGTCTGGAGAGTGCGACTACCAGGTATCTACCGCCAGTATGTTACACATCAACGCAATGAGTGAGGCCCAATGTCCTGCTCCCACAACGCTTTGTCGCACCTGCGTCTGATACTTAACTGCCAAATAAATGCTATATTTTGTCCCAATGACTGACCGACTAGCTGGCTGGACCGTCAGTGAACACGTCAGCCAGCTACGGCGGTCAGCAGGCTACAATGACTCTCAATGACCCTTGACCTACATGACCCTTCTCTTCCGCGCACACGCACAGAGCGGTGTAGCCCGCGCGGGTGCGGCAATCGGGCTCACGCGATCCTCCGCGTCGGCGGGTGGGGACACGGGCGTGCTTCCTCGCCACACCACACCGTGGCTGGTCGGGGCTATGTCCAGGCCACGGCGTGACGAGCCGGGCTCCAACAGAAGGGCATGCAGTCTCCCACCGTCGCCCTCATGCGCCCGGACCCGCCAGCAGTCTCCTTGAGCGGCACCACCTCACCTGGCCGGCCGCCACCTCACCTGGCCGGCCGCCACCTCACCTGGAGTCGTCTGCACGTCAGACTGGTTGCGCAGCTTGTACTGCAGCTGTTCGTTCTCCATCGAGAGCCGTTTGTTGGCCTTGGTCTCCTTGTCCTGGCACTCCTGCAGTCGGCAGTTTTCTTCACACAGTTGCCTGCCGGACGAGGACTAGCTCTTGTGATACCGTGGCCACATGCCAGTGTATTTTTGTGTGCACTGAATCCACCGAAATAATGCTGGTACCCGGCAAATCTAGGGAAAATCGACTCCGCAGTCAAGGGAAAAAAGCATGTTTCTGCCAAGTTGCTTTCCGCCAATGAATAAAACAACACACCTTTAACCACTGCCATTTCAATGGCCACAAAATACACCCGGTGACTATTTTCAGAACAGAACCTACCAATAAGCACTAAAAATGCTTCAATCAAGACAACGGCGCCGCTTAGAGCCGACAAGCCCCGACTGCGACACCCGCGTGGCCGTGGCACTCTCTGAAGGCCTCCTTCTCACCACTCACCGTTCGACAATGGCGCGCTGCCTCAGTTGCGCCTCCAGATCCTCAGCCTTGGCGCGGTACTTGGTGCAGCGCTCCTCCAGCCTGGCGTTATGCTCACGCAGCCGCTGCAGCTCCAGCTGATCCCGACGCAGCTGCAGGATCTCCTCCTTCTTCAGTTCCATCACTGCGTTCAGCGAACGGATGTCCTTCTCCTTCTCCTTGATGCGAGCGGAGAGGACCTGCGGGCGGCAGGCACCGATGAGCGCAGGCATGCCGAAATGCCGCCTTGGGGCAGTCTGGCTGACGCATCGAACGTAGCATGTCTGGTCCGGCTGGTACACAGACTGCGTCACTACTGCCAGTACCGCACAGTGCGGCACAGTACGGCACAGTATTGCACAGTGCGGCACAGTACGGAACGGAAGTCCACAAAACAAAACGGAAGTCCAGGACACAAAACGGAAGTCCAGTGCGGCACCAGTTCTAATAAATTGGTTATAACTTTGTCCCCAGCAGCTTTTCCCTGATCGTGTGCTGAGAAGCCTCTGCAACGTTATGCATCCAACTCGTTCACCGTTTGGCGCCTGCGCCGTCCGACAAGCGTGGTACCTGGATCTTTGTGTTGCTGCTGAGGCCCATAGCGGTCTTGAGCTCCTCCTCCGGCGACCCAGTTCGTCCGCCTGCTGCTGCAGCTCGGCCACCTGGCGCGCGCGCCTCCGCCTCCAGATGGGCGCGCCGCTGGCTCTCCACCAGCTCGTGCTCCCACTGGGCCGTTACCGAGGCCAGTTTCTGCTCGTGCTGACCGCTCAGCTCGCGCAGGTCGCAGTCGCGCGCCTCCTGCTGCCGCTGCAGCTCCTGCTCCTGCAGCTGGCGCTCCTGGTGCCAGGCGTCGCGCACCTCGGCCAGCTGCTGCTGCGAGCTCTCCAGCACGGCCGCGTGTCTCGCGGCCAGCTCGGCCCGCTCTGCGCCCATCTCCTCCTCGCGCTGCAGCCGCGCCCGCTCACGTTCCTCGATCGTGCCCTCCAGTCGCCGCTGGGTGGCGGCAGCCTCGTCTGCAAAGGTGGCGCCACCGTCAGTACATGGTTTCGTACACAACGTGAATGAAGCCCGTAACTGAACGGCATGGCTGTCCGTTTGTCTTCTAAATGAGCCCACAAATGCACCCATCGGCAGTGCATCGTTGAGCTTTGTACGGTCCCATTCCCAATTGCACATGTTCATAACCAAGTATCAGCCTGAGACCACCATCGCAATATCAATGCTTCTGAACCGCAAATGTTAAGCACAAACTCGTGACCTTTGTCAGCAGAGCAAAGGTTTAAACGACGATCACGTTGGCATTTTAACCTCCATCTTTCGCACTATAAGGTTTTGGGCATTTAGTAAGCACTTAAATTCACTTACAGGTGGGCTGACCTAAGCGTTGCTCTCACGGAACAGAAACATCATTATGGCGTTGGTAAAACTGTCCCAGACAATGACCTATTTGGCCAGTCATATCGGGTTCAAACCATCTTAATAACGTCCTTAAAGAAGCTAGATCCACGCCGCATTTTTCCTCAGAAGCGCTTTGCCGTTTCAGCAACGGAATAACGGCGCCTGTCCCGACAGGTGACGAGGCGGGTTCCGCCGCGGCTTGGGACTGTCTGCGCGTATCTGAGACCTCAGACCCGGGCATGGGAATCACAGCGGTCGTTCGAGATGTACTCGACGTTGCGCGCTGACGCGAGTGTGAGAAGTGTCACGGATTTGGATGCTTTTCAGTTTGGGTCGTCTTACAACTACGCTTTAAATTGTTCTTCCAAGGTCACGGTTTCTCCTTGATCGTTGATAAGTGGCTGACGTTGGTCGAATCTTGACTTAACAGATGACGTTTCGACTTTCTCGCCTCAGTGGACTGCTGAAGCCTGCTCATCCCGAGCCGCCATTTCACCCCGCTCTCCTCCGCCAAACGTCGCCGGCGGCGGCGGCGGCGGCGGGTCGCGGCGGCGGCAGCGGGCCCGTGTGGGAGCGACCGGTCGCCAGTCCCGGATCCGGCGGCGCGTGACTGCCGGCCGTTCTGGGCCCGACCGGCCGCCGCCGCTGCCCGCGGCACTCGCCCACGCCGCGAGCCGCCGCCGGCCGCGTCTGGCGCCCGACCTGGCGCGAGAGGACGTGCGACAGCTTACCGAGCGCCAGCTGAATGTCGGTGGCTCGCGACTGCAGCGCCTGGACCTCGTCCGCCAGCTGGAACGGCTTGTACTGGAACAGGGGAACGGACGGGTCACGTGACGCCACAGACCACCGCAGCGGCGCCGGTGTTGGCTGGCGCATTCTGCCGCATACGAGCCGGGCAGCCGATCCGGCGCACAGACAAGCCACCACACACGGCGTGCCAGGGCTTTTGTACGTCACGCTGTCTCAAACCCCAGTGGCAGACGAAACAACCCGAGTGCGAACAATGGGAGCAGGCGAGACGTGGCGTTCCCGGCCGGCTGCGGCCAGCGCTCGGCCAGCTGCCGGCCGTTACCTTGACAACCACGGCTCAACGCTGACGGATGGCGCCGATAGTGCGAGAACAATGCATCTAACGAGACACCGTCGGACCCAATCAGCCGGGATAAAACGGCTCGAGTCCGTCCTGCCGTGGCGGGTTCGAGACCCGGCCGGCGGCCGCCTTTCAGCCGGCAGCGGGCCTCCGCTGACCGCGCCGGGGCCGGCTGTACGGAGAACTTGACCCTGGACCGGGCCGGACCGGATCAGAGCGGCGGCCGCGAGGCTGGGTATCTCCGGGAGGCGGGTCGGGCGAGCGGGTCCGCTTCTTGTGGGACTGACGCCGACCTATCACGACGAGGATCGACGGCACGAGTCGACTCGGTCGGCGGATCAGAGCTCCGGACCCGAGCCCGGATCGAGTGGGGAGAGGCACCGAGGAAGAGCAAGATGGGCACGAAGATATCAGAGTTATGAACACACAGAGGTAAGCACAGGCATGTAGATAAAGATGGGTATATGGATAGACAGATCGATAAAAATGTATACTTATACGAGGCATGCTTATTGATGGACCCCTCAAGGTTTAGGCCAAGATAGGACAATAGGCAAGGGAGAGAGAGAGAGAGAGAGAGAGAGAGAGAGATAGAGAGAGAGAGAGAGAGAGAGAGAGAGAGAGAGAGAGAGAGAGAGAGAGAGAGAGAGAGAGAGACAGAGACAGAGACAGAGACAGAGACAGAGACAGAGACAGAGACAGAGCAGAGACAGAGACAGAGACAGAGACAGAGAACAGAGACAGAGACAGAGACAGAGACAGAGACAGAGACAGAGACAGAGACAGAGAAGAGACAGAGACAGAGACAGAGACAGAGACAGAGACAGAGACAAGAGACAGACAGAGACAGAGACAGAGACAGAGACAGAGACAGAGACAGAGACAGAGACAGAGCGAGACAGAGACAGAGACAGAGACAGAGACGAGACAGAGACAGAGACAGAGACAGAGACAGAGACAGAGACAGAGACAGAGACAGAGACAGAGACAGAGACAGAGACAGAGACAGAGACAGAGACAGAGAGAGAGACAGAGACAGAGACAGAGACAGAGACAGAGACAGAGACAGAGACGAGACGACAGAGACAGAGACAGAGACAGAGACAGAGAGCAGACAGAGAGAAGAGAGAGAGAGAGAGAGAGAGAGAGAGAGAGATAGAGAGAGAGAGAAGAGAGAGAGAGAGAGGAGAGAGAGAGAGAGAGAGAGAGAGAGAGAGAGAGAGAGAGAGGGGTGGGTTTATCCAGACACCAGCGCAATCGCAGGTCAGAGGTTATAGCGCGCCAGGCGCGAGGAGGCAGAAGTTCAAGGGCGTCGTCGTCCGTCAGCGGTGGTTCAGGGCCCAGATCGGGGGCGTGAGTAACAGGGCGTTCGTGCGAAAGCCGGCAATGGAACGACATGCTGACCTACCACCGGATCCGGAAATAAGTCCCGGGCGCGATGGGCGACCCGGGTCAGCTTAGGAGGCCAACGGCGAACCGGGTTAGTCTGGTGCTTCTTGTTCTTCCGGAAAATGGCAAGGTAAGTGATCTGCTGATAGTACTGAGTACCAGTTGAGCGTTCCACAGAGTTCGCGATCCAGGATTCAGACACAGACTGAATGATATCTTTCCACCCTCGTAAGCGTGGTTTACTGACGCAACTCCTTCAGCTTCAGGGTGGCACTGCTGTCACATCTGCTAAGCAGGTTCCGCCTGACCAGATCAGCAGAAGCTGAGCTTTTCATCAGCAGAATCAATCACTACTTCTGCTTCCGCTTTCGCCCCAGCACGTCGCATTATACAGAAACAAGACCGATTACCGTAACTGAATCAAATCACCCATTAAATTACAACTTCCTTTTTGGGAGTCGTGAGTGTTTGGGCGCCTGCCCAAAGTGGCAGCCCTGCCGCGAGGCCGGCGAGGTCAACCGTCGGGCGGCCATCTTGTCCGCGTGCGGCCGCCCGCCGCGCCGTCCGCCGTGCGCAGTCAGCCGGGTCAGGTCGTGACCCGCCGGTCGACTGCGGCTGACGGGCCACGCGGGCGCCGACGGAGCCGCGAAACACGGCTGCCGCCGCTCTGGCCGAGATCGAGGGTCTCCGGAAGATGTCGCCGTCGCTGTGCGCTACAGCCGGCTGCGGAGCCCGCCCAGCGCCACAGCCCGCCCGCACCGTTAGCGGCATGCTGGGTCGATATTTCACCGCCACAAACGTGAGAGGTTGCGACGCTAATAGACCAGCAGTTGCACGCATCGATGAAGACTCCCACCACGATAACGCGAGGACCGCCCGGTAGCTCGCCCGGACCGCTGTATCTCATTGCTGTCCATAAACGAAGCGCCATTAAATCTACCCAGGGGCGAAGAGCAGTCATCTCTAGAAAGAAGTTTTCGCTGCTTTTGGTAGTTTTCGCTGATGAAGGACAGATATTGAGAATCGGTGCTCGCGCAAAAACGAAAACAAAGTCACTATCCGCACTACTGACGTCGATAGGCCTGTAAGCCCATCAGACTTTAGCTTCGCTTCTGCTGCCTGCCCCTCTCGCGTCTCCGTGTTCGCCCCGCCCAAGTGCGGATCCACCCACCTCGGTGGAGATGTAGTTGACCATGACCATGGCGGCGTCGAAGCAGCGCGCCGCGTGCTGCAGGTCGCCACGGGCCGTCTGCAGGTCACGCTGGTGGCTGGCCAGCTGGTCCTCCAGCTGCGTGACCTTGACCTCGTGTCGAGCAGCGGCCGCCGACGCCGCCGGCCCGCCGCCCTTGATCGCCACCGGCTTGGCATCTGTCGAGAGGACGCCATGATTAAAGACGGACGAATGGCAGTGGCGGTGCAGCGAGCCGTCGGTGATTAACTTGACGTTTCTCTCGGCGTAAGAAGTGAGCGATGAATGTCTGACAGGAGGCCGGCAGATAAATCAAAGCATCGCCGAGTAGAACGTGAGCGCAGAACAGACTCAAGAGCACAAAACAGAACGCAAATACGAACAGTCCAAGACAAACCTGTAACGCGTGTTGTTTCGTTTCACCGCACACGTTGAACTCGGTCTTACCGGTCCGCTTCAGTGTGCTATTGAAAACGACGCCACCTCACTGCTGGACTGGGCTTTCGAACCTCATCCGACGCTGCAGCGTGTAGTTCCCGTCACCCGACC